ATACCGAGGCAATGCCATAAATACGGAGATACTATATATATATTTATAATGCGCACTTTGGTGCCTGCCGTCGCGGGAGGCCTATCATTTTCCATGGGAACCTGTAAACGTTTGTCGATGGCGTATGACGCCTTTCCGTGGGAATTTTTTCAGAGAAATGTATTAGTTGTAGATCCATGCAACGACTCTCTTATCGTTATAGAAGCCTTAAATTCTCAAATGCAATATTTAATAAAAAAAAACGATGACGTCACGCGCGCGCGTGTGTGTATTATATAAAATCTCACACTTTATTAAATCTATTTTTCTCAATTTAATTTTTAAATATTTAATACTTAATTATTAAATATTTAATATTAAATTACATCGTATGTGTCATTCGATTTATTTAATTAAGTAATTTTATATAAATGATATAAATCACGAATATATTATTTAAAATACACACAATATAGTGATTTTATATACATAAAATTTGTTGAGTAAAATACCGTGCCTTAAAATGTTACATAATTCTCTGTCGAGAGAAATATGGAGAAAATTTTTTCTATCGCAAATCGTGAATTTGCTTTTCCAACGCGATCGTATTTTTCAATTTTTTTTCTAACGTATATACACAACGGCACTTATACAACTAGATCGCGGCTCGCTCGCTCGCAAAATAGCGTGCAATCTACACGCTCTAATCGTCCGGCGAAAGTTTTAAGGTATCGATCGGTCGTGTCGTTGGGAATAAAAGACGGGATAGGAACGCCTAAGTGAAGGAAGTAAAGAAAAAAAGAAGTTAAAGGACCCAGCGATCTACGAAACGGATCGGCCGGCCGATGTGGGCTGCAATTTTCTGGTAATCATTTATCCGCGACACAGTGTTACACTTTCACCCCTTTCTGGCACGAATACGTAGATCCGGCCGGCGCATGTACCGTGTTAGGCGATTAAAACGATCACAGATTAGACGATCGCACCCGGTATGTGGAACGTTGATTCGTGATAACGTGTCCTCTCGTCACGAAATATTTTTACCCGACGTTATTTATTTTCTCTCTTTTCATATTTTCATATTTATTTATTTTATTCCCTTCCGCGTGAGATAAAACTGCCGTTAAATAATCTCGCATTGTATGTGTATATTTATTGTAATTATTATTTTTATTATTTTCATTCGTGTTGTAAAATTGTTGTGACTGCTGCAAATGGATTGAGATATTCCTTGATCGTGCAATATTAAGAGCGCGGATTTACCTAGACGTAATAATGCACGATAACGAGACGTGAAAAACCATAGTACCACGAAAGTTTCCGTATCGTGCCAGAACTTTAATCTAGCGTTTCGATCTAGCAGGCAACTTTGTTGATAAAGAGCTTTTACGGGCTAAATGAGCAACTTCGATGTTTCTTGCAAGCGACTCGCAATTAATAAAGAGCAAGCAAGCTTCGCCAAAGAAACGATAAAACTTGTCGGACAAAAAGCCTCATTGTTGTTGCGTTGACATTTTATTTGCACGATTTTCCGAAAATATACATATATTAATAAGTTATCGCAGAAATGCCGTTAATCACGTGTTTTATCTTATGAACACAAATTCTCTTATCAATATAAAATCAACATTTCTTATGTCAAAGTGATTAGATTATTATGAGTGTGGAGAGAAAAAATATTTACAGAATATTCTTTAATTTAATATTATTCTTACTTTTATTTACTCGATCCTGTTTATATTTTTTAATTATATTTTTTAATTATTATTTTAAAAAATATATACATATGTATGTATGTGTTTATAATACATACATACATAATTGGTTGATCTAAATTATGACTTATTACATGTATTATTTTGCATTATTAGAAAAAATCTTAGAATGTTATATATTATATGTAGAAAAGGGTAGTTTTCTTGAAGTAACGATTTCAATGTTAATTTAATATTCCATTATGTTGTTGGACGAGGGTCGGATTTCGATAACACGTAACGCATCTCCATTGATCCTCTCTCGGTCCTTTGTCGACTTTTCCCCGAGAGGTGACGTAACGCTGCATCAGACCCTCTCTATCTTTCTCCTCTGACGCGCGATCTGCGATCTCTCGATTCTCCGTTGTTGCGAGGGGTACGTTTCCTTCTTGTCTCTCTTATGTGACACTTGAATGACAGGTCACTGGGGTTTCGGTGACACCGTAATGCCGACCAGCCCTGCAATTGCCGAGATTGGGCTGTCGTCAATTACTTATTCCAATTACCATTCGCGTATTACACACCGCAGTATCATATCCTAAGGCGTGACTCGCTAGAAAAATTTTAATCTTAGCACTTAACATCAAAATAAAGGGTACATCTCTTTTGAGACTTATAAAATTTTGCAAAGAAAAATTACCAATATCTTTTTTCAAATTCTTCAAAAAATCCGAATTCAGCCTTAAATTGAGACTATTCTTCTGTGATATCGAGAAGAATATTCAATTTTAACATGTAATCCGTATTTACTATCTATTTTTATTAATTTTTTAACTTAACTGCTGTAATATATAAATCAACAAATTTTGAATATATGAATACTAAATTTTTTTAAGTGTTTGTATTTTCTGTACACTTAAACAATATAGAATTGAAAAGAGGCAACGATAAAATTAGAAAGAAAAGAACTTTTTATTATTTCTTAATATTGCCTCTACATAGTATCGATTCACTAAGAATAGTCTTTAGAATTATCCGTAAAAGATAGAGAACAATTTAACTGTTATTATTATTCTTCTATAATCTTTCTGTTATTTGAGTTTTCAAGTTTAAACTTTCACATCATTTTCTAAATTTTTTTCAATATACGAAATAGTTTTCTCTGATAAAATTTTAAAAAACATTTATGAAAATTTTTAATCAATGATTTAAACACTTATAAAAGTATTTTATTATATAAATATTTTGTCTCTTTCTTACCTAATATATAAAAGTTTTCTTTTATATAAAAATAATCTAACTATTTATTTGGTAATTTTTATAAAGACATAAAAAGATTTTATATACATATTTAGTGAACTAGGACAAATAGTGAAAGAATGTAATTTTACAAATGAATTACTTTCATAAATCTTTATTATCAAAATCTACACAATAATTTAAAAACAGTCAAATATTGATATTTAATAAGTTAATGATATATTGAATTGAAAGTTAATATTTTAACTAATCAACGATTATATATTATGAACTTCATATTTCTATTTGCTAAATCCGATGAAGGAGTTAAAAAGAAGTTTTTTTTAATCGCGTCTAAATTTTTAGTATCGACACAATATGCAAATTAGACATTTGCGCGATTCTATCTTTGGAATGTGTTATCGTCAAGATTACCGAATCTTGTAATTCAATTTTCGGTTTAATCTTCTCTCATGTCAGATTTAATTTGTATCTCATATGCTATATTAATATCTAGAACAATGTGAATTTATTCCACTGCTAATGGAACGAAGTTACTCTTTGAAAGCAAGTATATATAATTCGCGGAATTTAATAAGCGATAGTTAGGATATGGAAGATGTTTAAATATCGTTCATCTAACACACACACACACATATATATATATAAACCCAAAAATATTTCATATATACCGAGATTAATTTCACGTTTCGCGTGACAATTAAAATGGACGCATAATTAATCGTTTTATAATCGATTAATACCTATGCAATATACATTGGATGTATCTACAAAACTTGTTTATACTACAATTTAATTATGGAGTATAATTATTATAATATAGAGTTATTTATTATGTCACAATTATATATAATGCGCATACATCGTATTTCATATATCATCGTAATTGATTGGTTAGTGATTTTTTATAATAATAAATCATAATTACGCAATTATAAAGTCAATTTAATAAAATTAACAAAGCTTTACGAATTTGAAATACAATGCATCATTCTCTATATTATATAAGAAGTTTCGACATCGAAAGTATTATTTTACCCATTAGATTTGACCCTTAGATATTCCCGGTCGAGGGTCAATCACGATATTATTGCTCATCTCCGACACTTCGAATTTCGTCCGTGATTTCAGATTAATACGGAATAAAGATGGCGACTAGTTTTTAACGAAACAATCATCGCGGAAAGCCTTCGTGTTAGACGACAGTATGCGCACCGCTTATACGTAACATAAGATCGCTATCGGACCGCGCTCTCGCGCGAGTAATTCTCATCTCGGGGTTAATTGTGCCGCCTATGCATCCGCGTGAGGCGGGCGCATTATTATGAGGACTAATCTCGCGGATTGGCAACGACGATAATACCGTTGCAAACGCAAATGTTGAGAAAGGTCGGACCGTAACGCTCGACGAATGTGATCGTGTACTTTGCCATGCTAAATACTCCTTATATTTCTTCTTCATCTCTCTTGTATTATTAATATATTGTACATAAATATTATGTATATGCATTTTTTCTTATTTATTTTAGGCTTTACAAATCATCGTGAAATTTGTGCTTTTATTATTGAAATGAGAAAGGCAAATAAGAGCCAAACGCACTGAATGTAAGGTGCCATAACAATTATTTATTTTATTCTTAATTAGACTTTATTGACACCTTTATATCCAGTGCGTTTGAGAGAATATATAAAGATCAAATTAAAAAATTATATATCTTTTAATTTGATACAATTTTCTAATAATTCCTTAGCTATTGACTTAAAATTAATTACTGAAATAATAACATGCATAATGAATTATGCGTAAAATATATCATATAGACATGTATAATTTAATAACAAAGAATATCTAAATATGAAAGATTTGCATTTAGTATTAAATATGCGTCGCGTTATAAATTTATTTTCATATTATTATAGTTATTAATTATTAATTATTATTAATATATATAATTATTATATAATTATTAATTATTATATAATAATTAGTTAATATTACTGTCATTTTTCTCGATAACATTCGCTGTTACATGTTGCTCACCCTAATTCGCACTTTAAAATTTGCAGAGTTCGCGCTGCGGCTGACTTCACGCAGCAACCTGTCGCTACCTTCACATCTTCGTTCCCACGTTCGCACGCATCACGTCGTCTTCCCCGTTGTCGTCAATTATTTCGCGCATTTCGTCAAGTTAAAAAGTGAAAGTAACACGCCGAAGGTGCGTGTGTCGCGCGCGACAATTCGAGCAAAACGTTTCGTTGATTTAACTATAGATTGCATGGAAAAATCAATTCTGTTCTAACGCGCGCGACTTTACTCCGCGACTCGGATCCATCATGGCGGATGTGTTTTCGCGTTGCGAGTCGAGCGTTTGAAAATACCGAGAGTCGGAACACGATCATCACGAGTGTGACATGAGATCGGCCTGATAATCGAAGTATGCGGACATCGAGGCTCGAGGATTCCAGGAAGAATGCTGCCGGAAGGTGCCGAGGAGCGCCGATGGTGAATACTATAGATATCATTCTTGAGATGTTTAAGTATGACTCAGCAGGTAGACGATTCATCGAAACGGTATATTTCTTTCAAATGACAGGAGTGAAATTAATTTGAATGGAATGTTGAGACGTACTAACATCGTACTATAATAAATCAACGTAGAATGTAGATACGTTTCTGTATCCCGCTCTATTTTTGTCTTTTACTACTTGCATTTATTTAGTCATTACTCTTGTCTCTCGTTATTATCTTAATTTTTTATTTATGTGTACTTAATTTTAACAAATTTGACACTATCGGCATAACTTGACATGTTTTAAAATTATTTTCAATAGTTTTAGAGTTCTTACGAAATAATAAAGTTGTTTTAATATATGTATGTATTTCATCTGTTACAGGTAGCATTGCGATACACAGTGTGATTCACGCGTCGTGTCGGGAGTGCCGTGTAAAGTTTCGCGTGTCGTGTAAAGTGTCGGGCGATCGTAATTATTCGTGTTTTCGCGAGTGTCATCAGTGCTATAAAGGACCAAGAGAGGAGGAGGAGGCCTGGGGAGGCATCTGGCGACAGCGGAGCAACTGTAAGGTATGCAAAATAAAAATTTTTGTCTAAACTGCATTGTTTATGAAATAGTCGATTTATATATATTTATAGTCATGTATATACATAATTTATATATTTTATTTTCAGATCAATTTGCTGTGTGCTACAACTCCCGTTTTGTACGTCTCGGTGAGTGAAAAATTGTTTATTTTGTAATATTTCTACAGAGGTAATAAGGATGTGCGAATAGTCCCATTTCGTAAAAATTCATTCATAATTGCATGCGCAATTATGATTACGAATATCACGTTATTATAATATATCTATATTCGGCGATATAATTTGTTTCCTAATACAATTTTTAATGCAAAATTTCTTAATTGTCGATTTACAATAATCGATGCAGAAAATATATCAATTCAGTCAATATGCAAAAATTATGCACTTTAATTTTTTACGTGAAAAAAGAATACTATTAGAATATTTAGAATATTATTTTTTAAATACACGCGTACATTTTTTTCTACATAAAAATCAAACCATAGTCTATAAAAATTAAGAGACGATACAACAGCAGATAGAAAAATAATTCCTGCCTATAATGTATGATCTGTGAAGTTAAATTAACTGAATCACCAATCTGATGAATTAATTCATAAACAATTAAAGTCTATCAATGTTCAGTATCATATCGTTATCCGTGAAATTTTTTTTTATCGATTACCCATATTTTTAAAATGCTTTTCATAACATCTTATTAAAAAATAAAAGTTATACATTTATATATATTATATTTATATATATATTAGAAGTTATACATTTATATATATTTTTGCAGAGTTTACTTAAATTAGTATGTTCTAGGTAAAAAATTGCATTTTTTTAAAAGTTATATGAATGTAACATTGCATTTTTGTATGCATTTTTAGAACATTAATATTATTTTTATAAAAATATATATTAACATGCACATTAACTGCTGGTTTCCATTTGCACTATTTTTTAACAAAATTGTGTATAAAATATTTTTAAAAAACATTTAATTGATATGTATAAGTAGAATGTTTTATTTAAAGTATTATTTATATATTTAGAAAAATATTTCAGAAATATTTTTTTTCGTTCTCATAGTGATACTTTCTCTTAATTTTTATAGGCTATAATGAGGCCTTTTACGAATTACGATTACGAGAATATCACGCACATCTCGTAATATAATAATTTAGTATATGCGAAAAAAATATCAAACATCGACTGTCTCTTCGGGAAATATTAGAACCTTGTATACCGTATACTCGGTTCTGTAAAATTATGTGCTCCTGTGCACCTCGACGAACCCGTACATGAGTCTTTACGTGACTGGTAAGAGGATCCTGTCACTGGCACGTGCCAGGATGCGAGGCTAATAAATTCGTTCGCCTCTCGATTTCTAACGTAAAGAAAAAAATATTGAAACAGGATAACTCGAGGGAGAGAAATTATCTATTAAATGCTTCGACAAGGTAGGTCATGGATAACTTAATTACTTCAATTTAATTATTAGTTTTAGTTAGAGTGTTACTTCTAACTAAAAGTGCACACTAACTGAAAGTCCGCAGAAGTATAAAATTCAATTGATAATTGAATATCAAACAATCATATAATTTTATAAATTTTTCTTTTAATAATTAAATCTTAAAATTATTTAATTCTTTTAATAATTCTCTTAATTTTAACTTTAAACTTGATTTTTTCTTGATTGTTTTAGCGTCAAAAATATGCCAAATTATATTGAATTAAATTTAATTAACATTATTACATTAACCAAGCATATTTTATAATCAGATATATTTCTTTCTATATAAGTCTTTGATCTAAAATAATACTTTCACCGCAATTATTTGTCAGAAACATAGAAAATTCAATTATCAATTATTCGATAACAGATGCCGTATAATAAAGATAATTTCAAAATAATCCTTTCTTCTTCTTCCCCTTGACGTATTTCACATATACGATGAATACGCACGTGTCGATATATTCCCTCTTAAGGAAATGCACATAATATGCAACGCACGAAAGCCACTTTGTTCGCTTTTGCGATCGGTAAATTAGAGCCGACGTAAGAGTTCTCTTTTCCCATCGTTTATTCTCTTTGTGACATCGTTATTCGGTGTCAGCGACATGTCGCGACATGAAATGCGACGGCCACGATAAAGAGCGTAAAAAGAAAGCCAAGTTCTATCACCCTTTCTTGACCCCATAAGTTCGTTGACACGGACGAAGTGCTGTAGACTTTGACTTTGAGCTGCAATCTGTCGCGATTCGTATAGTTATATTCGAAAGTCGGCAACGATCGTAATATGTATGTATATGCATACGTTATTTTAGTTGACTATAATGACGAGTTCGTAACATGAAATTATTTATACGAGCCGTCGAGGAAAATTTTTTATTGTTTCATTTCGGTGACGAATTTTCTCGCAATTTTTATTTATGAAAATAAGCTAAATACTTGGAAATTTTTATTTTATTGTGATTAATTAAATATTATTAAATAATTTTTAACATTAATCTTAATGGAAAAGGAGCATTGCAATTGACTAATTGATTAAAGATCAGACGCTTATTTAAATATTTAATGTACGAAGAGAATATATTATTTTAATAATAATTGATAAAAATATATTTCACGGTATGTACAAAATAAAATATATCGCGAGCAAGGCGCGTGCTGGGAAACCTTTCTCGAAGAAATAACACAAGATGTTGCGAAGCCATAAGAGACCAGGCCAAATTAATAGTAGACCGGGTGTCTCCCGGTTTCTTTCTTTTTTTTTATTTTAAGTATCTCCTAATCGCGGGATCAGACATTTTGAGAAACCCTCCTTCGAATAGCGACGATTACCCACGAAGTTGGCAATCGTTATAGCGAGACGCGAAAGAGAAGCCCTTGAGAAAATCCCGCGCATATGGTTTCCGAATATTTTCATCATGACCGTTGTCCACGAAATTCTTACTTAATCTTATTCTTGTTCGATCTAAAAAGTTAATACTCTTAAACATTATAAAAACACATTGAGTGTTGTACACGGAGAGAATTTCCTCTTATAGAATTTATCCTGAAAATCGTGGCACAATTATTATGTGACAATATAGTATTGGAAAAATGTTATAAGAGTTTCTCTGATTAATATTTACCACAATAAAAAATATAAATATGTACGCATAATAATTTTACTATAGCTTATTATGGTAGATATTAATTTTTTTTATTGTGATTAATATTTAATCAGAGAAACTCATAAAATTCTTTCAATATCATATTGTCTCATGGTTCTCGTGATTTTCTTTAAATTTTAAGAGAAAGTTCTCTCTGTGTAGAAATGAAGAAACTCTGGAAAATGACATTTGAAATAAGGAAACAATTGATTATAAATTTATCGAAAGAGCTGTTTCGATCGAAATATCAACTTTTATTTCGTATATGTGCGATTGAAGTATCGAAAGTGTTCGGGAGGGCCGCGAATATATCCGTTTCCCACGAACGATTCTAGGACGAGAGACAAGGGATGGATTGCTGTTGCGCGTTGCACGGTTTGACAGGGCGGGGTGCACATCCCTCGTATGTACAGGTGGGACATGTTTCTGGTGTTTAATGGATAGCTATGGGAACCTGCGCATCGCTTCGCGATGAGTCACATGTCTCGTTGCATTTTTACGTTTCCTGCCGTACGTTTAACTGTCACTTCTGTTCGATATCTGCGTTCACCTCCATTTTACACGATCTTTTGTCAACAATGAATTATTTCGTGCTACTTATTAAGCACGAGATAAATCTTTAAGTTTTCCTTCTATAGAAACGATGGTCTAAGATCATGCTTACTTAAATATTCAGTATACTAAAAGAATGTATTATAAATTTTGTTGAAAGATATACCGATTAATCTGATTTTTTAAATATTTTTTAGAAAAACAATTGCAGATATAAAAGAATATAGATTTATTTATATCATTCATTTTATTATCATTTAAATTAGATTGTTTTAAATAAGAATACAATTTTTTCTGTTATTTGACTTTACTAAATTCTCGTGAAAGAAGTGATTTTAATTATCATTCTACGTGCGAAATAGAGGATTTTAATTGTCGTCCTGTGTGTGCGGAAATTATTTTACCGATATACTATGGGATTCTCTTTAGCAGAGTGTAAGTTCGAAAATTGCATTGTGTTTATATTCACACGAATAGGTATATCTAGCAGTAAATATTCATATCGTGACACTCTCTTCGTATATCGTTGCTGAGCTATTTCTGTTCCGCAAATTATAGGATTGTCTGTTTGCTAAATCGATATAAGAGATACTGCAACTTAACTTAATCGAAGCAAATGCCTTTTCCATTTGCGATATAAAATAAGAATTTCTAAGAAGCGCTTGAACTCTTTCTCTCTTTCTCTCTCTCTTAAAAGTCAAAATTATACATATACTGCAAAATTCATCTAGTGAACGTTTATTTTCGATCGACAATCTGAGAAGTTTGGAATTTGATTGTATTTTACTTTTGACAGATGGGAAGGATTTAGAACTGCGTATTAAAAAGTTCTTAAAGTAAAAGTGTATTTTCCATCATTTCTTACCATTTTCAATATTGTCATAATAAATCTCATTGGTAAAACGCATATAAAATATATAACGTATTTATATTCACGAGATTAATTAATTCGTGAAAAAACAAATTAATTGATGAACAAAGATAACGAAATATAATACTACAAAAGAGATCGGAATTATCAATCATAACATAACACAATTGTTTTTCACAATTTTTCGCAAAGCCCCACGAGTAAGAAAAATTGCGCCGCGTTGGATGCATTCGTCTCCTTTTTCGAGGATATCGATGACCGGGTATATTTTCGGTATCGATCGTATGACGGATCGCAATCGGAACTACGAGATACCGTGGATAGACAGGACGCGCAAGTGCAGGAAGGAAGTGTCGCGGTCGCTCTTCCGGGCAGCTGGCCTGGATATATCGGCGTGCCCCGGTATAGGGCACTATAGGATAAAGTAATCCACTATAGGACACCGTACAAGTGCCATTACCGCATGAGAGGGACGCCCGAGGCTTCATTTAATACCTCGCGGGTACATAATTAGGATCCGGATAAATATAATATCCGAGCTTAATATCTGCCATCAAACGGATCT